GAGGGGCCAGAAAGGCGTGGGGGAACCTGGCAAATCCAGACTGATGTCCCAAAATGGATCTATCGTTGTGGAAACGCCGCTATGGAGGAGGTGCGGAGGGGTAAAGAGATTAGTCCATGTATGATCATGTTTATCATTTATCATAAAGGGATGAAAGGATGATGACACAGTGTGCAACACAAGTGTAAACTCACCGTGCCACTGTGGATTTAAGCTTTTCTTTTATTGTGCAGGGAGGTATACACACACACACTGTTCACAGCAATGCTGCAGAGTCAATTATGGTTCAATGAAGGGTCGTTTTAGAGAAAATTGGCATTGCAACAAGAATTATTAAACCCCAATGAAAGTGATGGACCGTAGCCTGGGTAAAATGGTGGCTTCCAGGAGAGTACACATGAATATATATTCACAAGGAGGAGCCTCTGCAAATATAAAGTGTTGATGAGATGAGTCATGAGTTTGCAATACCCAACTGGACCAGCGGGAGGCTAATACATTAAATGCACAAGCGTTTGTGTGGATGGCAGTGTTGCCCTGTAGCAACACGACACCTTTAGGTTAGACCCTTTGTTCAAAACGCAGTTTTGTTTCCTCACAGCCAACAAGGCTCTTCAGAACAACTAAATCAAACAGCAAGTTCTGCCTCTACAATTTCTGCTCGGTATGGATGCAGATAACATCTGAATGAGCCGAGGCCGGATTGACTGCTACTCTGAGCTGAGTGCAGTGCAGCGTGCATGTTTTAATGTGATAGGACAGCTCTAGGGGGCAGACGGGCAACGCCTGCTCCGTGCTGCTGTCTAGACAACCCCTATTACAGTAGCTCTGCGGGGACCGGGTCTTTCAATAAGAGTAGCTGAGGACACACGCTGCCCGTCTTCTTATACTTAATGAGAGAACGAGCAGAGTCCAGGAGGACCCGGGCATCGGTGAGAGCTAGGGACGTCTGGGAAGAATGAGTGAATGAGGAAATATCAGAGGGGACATTTCTTTGGTTTGTTATTTAAGCCACAAAGCAAATAGAGTCAACTTACTGGCAAACTTGACAGGTAACATCTGATTGCAGGCCCCCGGTGAAGATTTGGTCTATGATGCAGTTACAGTGATTTGGATTGTTGGTCTTTTTCCCATTGTCATCTTCTGCAGATTGCAAAATAAACACCATCATTGTCACCACCAGCTTATTGGCCTTTGTTCTTACTTTGACTTTCACCTGCAGCCTCCTAAAAACTGTTTTAGCTCGCTCTCGAGCCTACCTGCTTGGCCTGTGTGCTGGGCCTATAGAGCTCCGGGAGTGGACGTCACTTCTCCCGGCGTGGAACAGTTCAAATCGAAACGGCGCCATATTGGCAGGCAGAAGCCGGCAGCTGGACTATTTGTTATTGTCAGAAAACTCAATCAGACGGGAAATATGGTAGATTCCTGTTGTGCACCAGGATGAGGAACAGACGCAGACGACATAAGGAATGAGCCACCTACAGGATTCCCCAAGATCCGGAGCGCCGCCAACGTTGGATTATTGTAATAAAACGCGCTAGTGACCGGGCTAAAATGAAGCTGTGGGATCCCGAGAGTAAAGGTTTTCACTTATGCAGCGACCGCTTCATATCAGGTACTTCAACCAACGTTTCCTCAACTGTGTATGGTATTTATTTTAAATGCTTTTATTACGATTCTTAGTGGGCTTCCTAAACTTATTTTGGCGTGGCTTTTTCTGTCTTATTACTCATAGCAACAAGTAAACGTCACGTAAAACGTTGCCTCGTGATTTATGCGTGCTGCCGTTTACGTGTTTTATGATCCCAGCAATTAACCGGCTAAGCTGTATTTAATTTTTAAGCAATGGTTGATCAATTGTCAGATCACACATAAAAAGCACTTTGGATTGCTATTATCTGTCTCACCGAGACAGATCTCAGACAGATCCTGAGACGCTCCTGCCTGACATATTTATTTTATTCACGGAAAAAAATCTGACTAGTGATTTCTCTTGGCGTTCAGTTTATACATTCAAACAGCACAGCACTCTATTTATAAACTTCTTACATGTAAATCTGTTATTTGTCCATCCATCCATCCATCCATCCAATAAACCATCTAACATCCATCCAGCCAGGTCCAGTAAGAAGTCCGCTCCGACAGCTTCTGACATTTTTAAAAAGTATCCCAGGGGCACGGTAAGGGTTGGAGATGTTTAGTCTATTTAATTTCTGACTATATAAAACGATTTCTCCGGTTTTAAAGTGTGAAGTAAACTCCAACGAAGTAAAATCCAAGCCGATCCCGTTCATTCTGTTTACATTTGTTGCCTGCCAACATGGCGTCTACTCTCTGAGAGTCACGTGACGTCCAGAGCTCTATTAACATTCCTCACACTGCTTACTGCCTGCCCCCTCGGTAACCCCCCCCCCCCCCCCCCCCCCATTAGCCCTGTAAAGGGTCGTTTTAGCACATACTGGATCAACAAAATGATGAAAGTGTTAAGTCAAAACCCTGAAGCGTTTAAGAAAGAGCCATGTCAGGTTTTTGGGTTTGAGCGACACTTACTGATGGTGTCTCCTTTGCAATGTCGATGTAGTACATCCAGGGCTGCAATAAGAAACTCATGCGCGTCTTGCTGCTCGTAGCCTGCAAGGTGACGTGCATGAGTCCACACCAGGTGCAGCAGCCGGAAGGGAATGTGGGGCGAACGGTGGCCCGAATAGAACTGAGGGCAAACAGGAAACATGTACGAAGGTGGTGAAGTCAGATTGTTACAGGCTGTCAAACTCATGTTATCTCACCATTAATCTCACAGCTTTCAAATCTATAACTTAGTTTTCAAATAAAGCTTAAATGTCCTGTCAAGGCGATAATTAGAATTCTTAAAAAGTCTAATCAAATTTAAATTAAATGCAAGGAAATAGATATGTATGAGCACAAAAGAGGGAAACGAAGACAAAAAATACAGTGCATGAATGTAAAAATGAAGACATCTGCGCAAATAATCCATTTGTCAACTGGTGTACTTTTTATTTGCCATGGGCAATGGAGTGAGCATTAATCCAGGTTGAGAAGTGTAAGAAAATAACAAAGCTGAGTGGAAAATTAGGGCTGTGCAATACAACAAAATCAAATTGTCTATTCTATAACTTTATAAAAGCAGCAGCCACCTTGGCAACACACGGCTGAAGGGCACGCGTTACTGGGAGCTGAGGGGAAGAGGTGTGCTCCAGTTAAATTTAGCATTTAACTCAAAAGCTAATGCAGAATAATATCCCAACAATGAACCATTAATAAGACGATATGAGCTGCAGCTAGGCTGACATTCAGCTAATTCTTCCATATGAAACACATCAGTATAGAAGCGTGAGTTTAGCAAAGACTTCATGGCTATGAATGCAGATGTGCTGCTACAAAAAATAATAAAGCAACATTCTAAATGAAAAGTAATCATAAACATGGAGGAGTACTGTTCATTTTAATTCATCTCAATACATTGCGAAAGAATGAGTAATTTCCATTGGTGATTAAATAAACTATCCACTACAGATACAGAAAATTGTATTATGCGATGTGCGATTTTGATCCTACTGCACAGCCCTATGAAACATCAACACAATTATCAGTTTTAGAGTGAAATCTTGTTTGACAACACATACTTGTTGTGCACAGAGAGATTTACAATCTAGCTTTCTCTGTGAACCTTACACTTTTTTCCGTCTGAGATTAAAGTTTAAAAAGAAGGAACAGGAGGACTGAATGAATTACTTCTTGTTTAACTGAACCTGGATTTTCGGTCTCAATGGCTAGAATCTAAAAATCAATAGCAGCCTATCTGGGTGAAAGATGTGAGCTGACTGAGACGGGCCGGGCCTGTGTGTGTTGCTAAGGGCGAGGGAGGGGAGGGGAGGGGGAACTCAGCTCATTATTCATTAAAGCACCACGTGCCATCTGTATATACTGAGAAGTGAGAGGATGTAGGGAGAAAGTGAGGCAGTGTGGGAGCAGATCTTAAAACCATTATGCAACATTTGAAAGGTGGATTTTTTTTCCCAAGAAAGACAACAAATGGTTGAGAACAGTTTATAATGCAGATGTTAGTTTCTACATTCGGATGGTATTTTCTTCTCTGAGCAGAAACCCTCAAAAAGTGTGTGTGTGTGTGTGCATGTGTATATATAGTCATCTGCATTGCATGAGTGTTAAAAGTCCCAAATTATTCTGTGTGCAGCATACCTCCTGAAAGAGCTGTGACATCTCACACACCAGACAGGAGTTTGATTGCATTTCGCACTTGTGTCTGTCGGAGAGAAAAAAGTCTCGCAGCAGCGGTGTGTGTGTTAGCGCCTGAACAATACAGTTCATGAAACACGTGTTGCCCAAGTTTATTAGCCCTCGTAAACCTGCAGGACAAGAAGACAGCGAGACAGAAGTGTGAGGACAAGAAGGCAAGAGGGGATGCTAAAACTGGAACAGAATAGAATAAGAATTTGTCGTAGTTGCTTCATACTCACCAGCCTGTAACTCTACTTTTCTTCCTCAAAATGCATCTGACTGATGCTTTTGAATATGAAATGTCCAAAAATTTATTCGGGGGGGGGGGGGGGGGGGGGGGGGCACTTGCCTCAGGAACCCCCGACAGTATTTTAATACTTATCTTTTTCACCTCTGATCTTTTTCCTGTCTGCTCTTTGTATATACACATGTATATATGTATAAAGAGAGATCTCAACGCCCACACTTTAAAAAAGCTTGCAACACCCCGCGAGTGACCCATGGTGGCGGTGGGGTACTGGTATGGGCAGGCGTATGTTATGGACAATGAACACAGGTGAAATTTATAGATGGCATTTTGAATGCACAAAGGTACGGTGATGAGATCCTGAGGCCCATCATTGTGCTGTTCATCCATGACCATCACCTCATGTTGCAGCATGATAAAGCAAAAATGTGCACATGTCAGAGTGGCCTTTTATTGTGGGCAGTCTGAGGCACACCTGTACATTATCCGTGCTGTCTAATCAGCCCCTTGATATGCCACACCTGTGAAGTGGGATGGATTATTATTATTGGATTGGATTATCATTGGAGTATTATTTTCTGAAATTTCAGCTGTTAACTTTATTTTCTCTCTAAGTGTTTTTCTCCCCAGAAGAAGCTACAATGATGTTCTGCTGAGCTGTGGTGGCCTCATGGAGGGGGCCATCGTCTAACACACTGCTGCTAACTACTTAAACATTCTCCCTCTCCTGATAATAACTTTTTGCTTTCCTTGAGGTTGGATGTGCTACTACTAGTTTATCTGTTTAATTATAGATCCACTAGGATAAATACAATAAAGTTTACCTTTCACCAAATAGAATATTTACTAAGACATCACAATATGATGTGTGCTTGTGTGTGTGTGCCTGCTCTGTCTTCTCGATCCCCAGTGAGTCGTGGAGGATGGCTGCTTATACTGAGCCAGGATTCTCTGGAGGTTTCTTCCTGTTAAAAGGGAGTTTTCCTCTCCACTGTCGCTGCATGCTTGCTTAGTATGAGAGATTGCTGTATGGTCACTGACACTTGTCAGTGACTTGATGCAATTTGCTGGGTTCCTTATATAGGAAACATTATTTCTGATTGGCTTAATGAACTGACCTGAATTGGAATTTTTATAATGTGAAGTGCCTTGAGACGACTCTTGTCATGATTTGGCGCTATATAAATAAACTTGAATTGAATTATCTTGGTAAAGGAGAAGTGCTCACTAACACATATGTAAACAGATTTTAGAAAAATATTTCAGTTATGGGTGTTTTGTGTATGTAAAACAAGTTTTGGATGTTTGCATTCAGCTCATGAAAAATGGGAGCAAAAACAAAAGTGTTGCATTTATATTTTTTTTCAGTGTAATTTAAATCAACAACTTAAATAAAAACCCAACAAACATTGGTCCAACATGGTGTCCAGGTCCAAAAATGGTCACAGTAGGACGGCCCAAATTTGTAAAAAAATATATATAACAGAACATGTCTTAAAAATCTATTCAGATACATTTGTGAATGCCTACAGTTATATGTATTATTGTTATTCTGACAATTAGTTACGTGTAGTTCAACATAGCATCCCAGCAAATATTGGTCCGATGGCAACGTCGTGTCCACGGCCAAAAATAGTCGCGGTAGGACGGTCCAAATAATAAAAAAATTTTAACATAACATTTCCTAAAAATCCACTCAGATTTGTAGTTACATGCATAATTGTTACATGTCATTTACGTCCAGAAAAGACATCGGTTCAACTTTCATTTTGGAACTATTTTTCACCCATGACGGGACGTGTCGGCCGACGTCTTTTCAATGTTGATTAAATGTCAGAATGTTTGCTGGGAGGTGTCTAATAATTGATTAGGTCTGTTGTAGATGTGAAAGGAGAGTTAACAATATGGTGTTGGATCAAGACTGCCAGCAACGCTGAGTGTCTCCTGGAGGGCTGAGAATTCATTTGTTTAGTCCTCTACTGATGAACAGGTGAAACACCGCCAGGTCCTGGGTCCAATGCACCCGAGCAAGCTTTGGTACCAGAAGAATGTACTAAGTTAACGCACACACACTATTGTCAGATTGTGTCGGAAGATCTTAATAACTGAGATTAAAAAAAAAATCTGATTGATGACAAAACCTGACAGAAGATAAACACAAGCTTATTGTGTTGTGCATCTATCTGAGGGAACACTGTGTTCTGCCTCTCTTTGTGTACTCTGCCTGTAGGGTTGTTCCGAGTAGTTGACCTTGGATATTGCACTTAAATGCACGAGTGACCCCCGAGCACACCAGCACAATGTACACACAGCAGGGATTTGCAAAACTGTCAAGAAATGAAAAAAGGCGCTGATTAAGTCATGCAGACTGAACAGTGCTCTCTATTGCCCACCTATGGTACAGTTTGTAGTGATTTTCCTTCTCTTTGGATTGTGTCGAAATAACTCTAGCTCCCGCTTGGTCGGCTCCCATGTTGTATATTTCTCCCCAATGCCTGTGGAATGCACAGAAACACTGCAGTCAGAAAGCAGGCCAAAAACCTGCAGTCATGTATGGGACGTAGAACAGGAGGCAGTACCTTGCAGTTTCCAGGCTTTCCTCTGTTCCTCTTTGGCGATCTGTTCCATGTCTTTGTCGTATATGTAGTCTTGACACACAAAACAATAAATCCCACCGTATAATAAGTCTATAGCTGGAAGGAGAGAGATAAGGGGACGAGAGATTACATTTTGATTGCAAATAGATTTTTCAGCATGATAAAATGCCCTGGGTTAATTCAAGTTTACAGACCTTTGAGGGGAAAGAAAACACCATTTGTGACCAAACCAGTGAATGCTGGGATTTCTGACGGGTGTATTAATTCCGCCATTTCCACCTGTGCCTTACACTAATACGTATGCTGCCATCTACCATCCTCAAAGTCCACAGCAACAATACCTCAGCTCTGTTGCCGTGACAACCTATTTTTAGTTTAACTGGACACATTTCTGCTTTTGGTGCTGCCCACACAACAAAAGTGAGTTTTCAGTGTTATGTAGAAATCCGGTTACAGTACCGTGTGTTTTATTTTTGTCATTTCTTTAGAACAGGCGTGTTAAAGTAACAGAGTGGCATCATCCAGTTAAGGCAGAACATTTCTTTTAAATCAAAGCAAAACAAGTGGCAGTAACAGAAAAACAAAAATGGGATAAAACGGTTTTAGCAAAGGAAAAAGAAGCATTGAAAAGGAGAACATAAAAGTATACAAGATTCAGAAAGCTAAAGAATAAAGGTCAGGATGTTTAAAAAGAATAAAATACATTTTATTTTAATCTAGCAGTCCCACAAACTGGGGAGTTTGGATTCAGTTGATTAGAAGTAGAGATGAGCAGAGTGCCAATTTCAGAAATGCTCTTGTGTAAAGCTCAAAGTGTGTGTGTGTGTGTGTGTGTGTGTGTGTGTGTGTGTGTGTGTGTGTGTGTAACCCAACTGTTGTACATTAAATCAATTAAGGTCATTAGGATACTATAGGCCTACACTAGCCTCACATATTAGCTGTCCCCATCGGCGTATTATCTAAATCTTGCACATTAGGGCGTTTCAAAGCACAATTAACACGTGAAGCTGATGCTGACACTTTAAATAGTGCCGTAAGTGCTACCACCACTTTGCTGTAGAATCTCATTACATTTGATTGGCTGTCTCACTGGTTCAGTAATGTGATGTAGTGGGAGTGAAGTCTGGCTCTGACGACTCTGAGGATGAACTAGCCCAAAATGACTGTTAGTTAAACTTTGAGTAATTAGCACACCACACATCTTGTTATTGAGGTCAAAGGGCAAGCCAAGAGGGTTGAGTAACATGACATACAAAGTTTATACAAAAATCAATTAGTTCCTCATCTAACTAAATGCATTTTGTGCTGTTTGCTAAAGCAAATGTAAAATATGTGGTAACACTTTACAGTAAGGGTTCCTTTAATTAATGTTACTTAGTTTATTATTAAGCATTAATAACCTGTTAAAACTATTAAAAACTGCTTAATATCAAGGTGAATATTAAGTAATGCATTACTAAGCAGACACCCCCCATGGCCACATGTCCTAAACTTAACATGTAACAGTTAATATCTGAACGTTAACAGAGGGATCCTTTGTTTATTAATGCTCAATAATGTAATAAAGGGAACCTTACTGTAAAATGTTACCAAATATTCTTATACTTAAAGGTATGGCGGAGGACATTTCTGAATTTCAGGAAAGAACCGACCTTTCCATGTTTTGAAAAAAAAAGTGCACATGAGAGAGAACGTCCTGTTAAGTAGCTGCTGGCCTTGCAGCTATACTTCTTCTAGCAGTAATCTGAAATTAATTTCTCCAAATAGCATGCCAATCTTTAGCTTACCAGTCGAGCAGAAATCTGACATCATAGGTGTCTGTGGGGAGCCCAAGCTTCACATTGTGCATGTGCAGAAAGTGAAAACTACTCAGCACTGAGCACGTACGACGACCTTGCGTGAATGGTTCACCAGAATAATTGATAGTAATGCAGACCAATAATTCAGGTGATCCACCCGGAAGAAAAATATCCTCCGCCATACCTTTAAAGTAAATATCTCCAACTTTTACCTGCACACTTATCAGGAATGATGAAAAATAAAATTGACTATGATTTTTGTGAAGATATGTGTCATGGTTAACAATGTTATCATGGAATTTTAAAAGTGTTGAAATGGTGGAAAAAGACTCATCATGCTGGGAAACCAATTAGCTTTGGGTGCCAGTTTCTCAGGAGAGTCCACACTTGACATTTGAGACACTTTTTAAGGAGACAGTCCATTTGGAGAGTGTGAACATTTGCATTGGCTAACCTTTATTAAACCGCAAAAGAAATTTAAACGAAATAAGGTCCAAGATCTTGATTAAATAAATGTCTTCAAATTGACAAAATTCAAGGTTTCAGCCTTAATATAACAGAAAACTGTGACCCACAGCTGCTGTTGTCTCCAGGGTACCACTGAATAAGTGACTATAATACCGGGGAGTGTGGCTTCAACAGTAATGAATCAAGACGGTAATAAAACAGCCTGTCCAATAATTATTTAGAGTAGAAGCAGCAGCAAAAGCACAAAGCCATATCCATAATTCACTGTAGAAAGCAATGTGGATCATGTTAGACCACTATTACAAGACTATTGAGAAAGAAGTGTTGTTTTGGTTTAAAATGAAATAATCCTTTTATATGAACAATCACTTGTTTCATAGAAATCCCGATCATTAAGAATGTAGAAAGTTTCTGGGTAAACAATTAAAAGACAGACAAGAAGGTTAACAATGAGATGTTACCACCAAAAAAAGCTCATACACTCTAATACAGTTGCTGGTCATGCAATTGTAATATCATAACAAAGTTTATTTATTTCAGGAATTCCATTCAAAAAGTGAAACTTGTATATTACATTCGGTACACACAGACTGATATATTTGAATTGTTTTCTAGTGCAAATTTTGATGATTATAACCGACAACTAATGGAAATCCCAAATTCAGTAGGTCAGAATATTAGAACATTGTGAAAATGTTCAATAGTGAAGACTCCTTGTTTCACACTCTAATCAGCTAATTAACTCTAAACACCTGCAAAAGCCCTTAAATGGTCTCTCAGTCTAGTTCTGTATGCTACACAATCATTGACTCCGAATGTCATTGGTAAAGAGGCTGGGTGTTCACAGAGCTGTGTCCAAGCACATTAATAAAGAGGTGAAGGGAAGGACAGGGTGTGATGGAAAATGTGTAAATGCAATAAGGATAACTGCAACGTCTCGCCTGGGCTAAAGACGACTGGACTGTTGCTGAGTGGTCCAAAGTTATGATCTCTGATTTCCGTTGGAAATAAAGGTCTGGAGGAAGAGAGGAGAGACACAGAATCCATGTTGCTTGAGTTCCAGTGTAGTTTCCATAGTCAGTGATGGTTTAGGGTGCCATGTTATCTGCTGGTGTTGGTCCATTGTGCTTTCTGAGGTCCAAGGACAACGCAGCCATCTACCAGGATGTTTTAGATAGAGCTGTAGTGAAGCGTCAATGACGTCGACAGCTCGATTCTAAAAATTCATCGACGTCAGATCCGGTAGTTGACGCACCACGCCCACTTGTTGCATCCCCAGGAGTTTGTAAATAGAGGAGGAACCTGCAACTTTTTCCTCCTCTAGTTCGCCCTCTTCTATGCCTTGACCAACATCTCCGCCAAATACTGAAGACCCGGAACAATGTCCAACGGCTACTAGATTCCTTTCCTGTTTTGCCCGCCTTCATCTCCCGGCAACGGACAACAACTTCCGGGGTCAGATGCACTGCTCCTTCTCTACCACAGATGTAGAAAATCACCGGGAGCATTTCTCCCTTCATAAAGGAGCCTCTTTCAGACATTAGGAGAGATGTTTTGGGGTGGCAGTCTCTCCTCCGTGCTGGTATGTTTGCTGCTGGGTATTTTTGGTTTATTTAAACGTGGTAACTTGAATTTAACTTTGGTAAAGCTACTGTTAGCATTTTTGCCAACAGCTTCTTGCGTTTGGATAAACTGTTACATTTTGGTTTAGAGTTCATCTTTTTTGTGGTGTAGATCTCCCTTTTATTACATTTAGAGTGTCGTGGGTTTTCGGTTTAGTTTAAAATATCACCTTGAGTTTGGTTTAACCACCCAGTTTAGAGTTTGGACCTTTGGAGATCCTTATTTTGGTCCAGAACCCAGTAATCTTTGCCCAGTGGGACATCCCTAGTTATTTGTACTTTTGTTTTAATTCCCCACAGGCAGAATTAGTTTTATTATTCCCAACCTGTGGATGGAAAGATTTATGATTTTTTGTTGTTGTAAATAAACCTGAACATCATTTTAACTTTTAAATCCTGTGTTATTGTCCCTTCCTTTTTGCACACGAGCCAAACTTCCCAGGAAGAGTCGTATCATCACTTGCCTCACGCACATAAGTGACCAAAACAAAGCAGCATGGAGACTGTCTCCAACCACCTCTCAGGCAGCAGCCTGCTCTCCCAATTTCACCAGAAAATAACCAACCGCAACACAATAAAAGCAGTGTTATACAAAATGGAAGGCCTGTAGTGTTTATTCTCTTACAGTAACAATTTATCAATTTTTTTGAGGAATTTATTTGATATTTTCTTGTTTTTATTAATTGTGCAATAAGAAAATAATCGCTAGATTAATCGTCTAAATAGTCATTAGAATAGTCGACTATTCGATAAAATAATCGTCAGAATAATCATTTTAAAAATAATAGTTTACCCCCAGCCCTAGTTTTAGAGCACCCATGCCTCCTGCTGCTGACCAACTTCATGGAGATGCAGATTTCATTTTCCAACAGGACTTGGCACCTGCACACTGTGCCAAAGCTGGTTTAAGGACCATAGTATCTCTATTCTTGAAAACTCTTCTGACCTTAACCCCACAGAAAGTCTATGGGGTTTGTGAAGTGGAAGATGCAATACACTAGGGTTGGGCGATGGGAAGGTTGAATCGGCTGTTGTCGGTACAGGATCTGCTCGGGGTCCTTCGACTGCCGATGACGTCAAAGTAGTTGATTGGCTGAACATGAAGCTCACGGAAGTTACATAATCAAGTTAAGATTTTGATTGGTCAGAACAAATTTCCAGTCGTAATCTTAGCGGTTGTAGTCCTGTAGTCTAAAAATCAACACTTTTTGGAGAAAAGATGTTTGAATTTCTAAAGCAAATGTAAAATATAAGCAAATGATAAACAGTGACCCTCAAAAGCTCTTGATGTTTACGAAATGGGGCAAAATAAAATATTAGAACTTTATTGAAAGACACCAAGGAACATTTTGAGTCAAAGAATGTATTTAGATAACAACTAAGGAAATATACAGACAAACTCCACATTAATGCAAACAGATATGGCTTCACATATAAGGACTGTTCTATTTTTTGTCAGTCTGATGTTGGTTTTATGCAGTTTCACATTCTTTACCAAACAAAGATAATATGGTGTTTTTTTTAACAAATTACAATTATAAAGAAAACATTTAGGTGTTAACAAACAAGAATTTATTAACAAAACTGCTGATGTCTTTCCAAAACGTATGTGTGAAAGCCGAGTAGATTCGCAGTAATGTGACGTCATCGGCAGTTGAAGGACCCCGAGCCGATCCTGCACCCGAGCAGATCCTGTACCGACACCGTCAGCGATGGGCTGAGCCGTTATGGTGTTTTATTACAGGAGGCGATTTGTTCATTGTTTATTTGTTTGCACGTGAGTTAGTTGGTTACTGACAAATATTTTACACATTACACACAGACAACATCGCGGAAGTAACAATCACAAAAAGATCTCGATCAGCGCATCCGAGCCTTTTCTCACCTCCTCCCCCTCTCGCTGCTGACAGTGCGTGCGCAAACGCGCACGCTGAGGAGGAGCTTGAAGAGCATCTGCGCACAGCAGCGTGGTGATGAGTGGAACGTGGAAACCCTTCTATCTTTCAAGCCCTGTCCACACGTAGCCGGGGATCTGCCAAAACGTAGATATTTTTCTACGTTTTGGCCTGTCATCCACACGAAAACGGATCTTTTTAAAAACTCCGGCCAAAGTGAAGATCTGCGTTTTCTCCGTTTTGGGTGTCTGCGTGTGGACAGACAAAACCGGAGTTTTAAGGTCCGCAACGTCACTTTCCGTGACAAAAAAATGCTGACATCACGTGTGCGACCTGTGTTTACACTAGCCGACAGCATGGATGCCCTCAGAGCCGCGCTCGCTTTATCAATTGTCCAAGCGCTTTCTGCTTGTTTGTTTTTGCAAGTGGAATTACTGCTCCTTGCTGAAGACCACAGACGAAGGACGAGGTTAAGAACGGGGGAAGTACTGCCACCTACAGGTCTGGCATGTCCTTAACAACGTATTTATCCGGGTACGTGTGGACAGTTTTTTTTTAAACGAGGTGGTGTGGATGCAAGTTTTTGGAGGGGCGGATATTCGTTTTTTAAAAAACCCGGCTACGTGTGGACTAGGCCTCAGAGAGTAGAAGACTTCTGGTAATTTCATTTGGAGAAATCTGTCCTGATTTAAAACTTTGGCATAAGTAGCTCTCGTTATTCAGCACCTGCTTCGAGTGTGTCAGCAGAACGCAGATTCATCCAGAACAACATTTAAACAGCCACGAGTCGTCTGTGGCAAACATCCAGAATCCCATAACCTCTTCAGGAAGCTCTCTAGAGACATTTGATTAAACACAAGCTGAAGGGGACCAGTTCAGGTATAAGCGGAGCAGAAGGAATGTGCGTTCGTGCCGCAGCAAGTTCCTAATTTAAGTGAAATTGTTCAATTGCATTGTTTATGTTACTGCGCCACTCTGATCAGCTTGTTTCGACTAAATATTAATTAAAATTAATGGAAATTGAATGAATGATTATTCATTATTTTAAAAATGAAAGTGACTGGGATAAATTGATCATGCGGCCTCCTCAGAGTGCGTCCAAATATATCAGTGATTCATTTAATTTCCTACTCATAAAAGAAAGAATACCAGGAGCCTTTGTTCAGAAAAAAACATTTTGCTTAAATAAAATAAGCTACCACAATGGAGGGCACCACAGGGTGACAAAGATAACAAGGCTTTGTTTAAAATGAGCCGTTTAGACTTCCCTCTACCAAACTATAAATACAAAATTAAACAAAAAGAAAAATCTAAATTTCTCTTCCAGCAAACATATGCTCTGCACTTGTATGAAATCAATGTTTTGGGTTTCTTCTGTTTTTGCAAATCGTCGTTCATCATCTTTTATTGGACTGGCGATTCATGTTGGGAAAAAAATAATACAAATCGCCCAACCCTACAATACAACAGATCAAACAATTCAGAAGAGCTGAAGGCCACAGAGCAACATGGGCTCTCAGAACATTTGAGCAGTGCCACAGACTGATGGACTCCATGCAATGCGGCATTGCTATATTTTATAAACCCTGACATCACACCTTTCTGAGTCCTTTAGAAAAACTCATAAAACAAACATACACAGTCATGTTTCATCAGAGTTTATTCATTGTCTCATTTGATATCACTGTGAATCACCATTAATAATCATTTGACTTTTACATCATTGATATAGTAATAAATTGATTTTTAATAGTGATGCACAGATATGACATTTTTGGGCCGATACCGATAACCGTTATTAAGATCACTTTTGTGGCCGATAACCAATATTTGCCGATACCAATATACTGATGCTTTTTGTATAGAATGAAAATTATTAAAGCTGAATTGACGTTATTATGTACACACAACACACACATTTACAGATCTGAGATGATTTCATTCACTGTTCACATGACTAAACAATTACAGATCACCCTCTCACCCTCTGAAACAGGCAAACAAATAGAGACGAGAAGGAAAAAATATCGGTTGTTAATATCGGCCCAGTTTTATTTATCGAACCGATAAAAATATGTTAAAAAATGACTAACATTGGCCGATACAGATATTGATACAGATATATTGTCCATCCCTAATTTTTGTTGTCTCCCTGGACCATATATATAGATATATATACATAAATACACACACACACACACACACACACACACACACACACACACACACACACACACACACACACACACACACACACACACACACACACACACACACACACACACACACACACACACACACACACATCTACATAACATTGTAATTACTTGCTCACACAGGGCAGTGGAGCACGAGGATGCATGTGAATGTCATATGAAATGCTGAGAGTGTGACTCGTAGGATGAGGGTAACTAATTATTTTTACCACATATTTCATAAAATGTTCATTTCGAGCTTTTTCTTCAGGAGAGTTCTTAAAGCTAACATCTACTGGATTATGTTGATGAGCTGGGATAAATGGAATAATACAAGAAATTGATTGTTGAATATGTTTAATATATATATATATATATATATATATATATATATATATATGTATTATTGTTATTTTCACATAGATATGTTTCTTAATTTTCAAATTTTGTTTTTGAGATAAGTTGATAAGAATAAGTGAGAAGGGGATAAGAATGTACAAGTTTTACTTCTAACTACTCCTTTTCGGACTTTATTATTTGATTGCTTTTGTGTCGAGTTGTGTTGTTAAAAAAGTTTTATGTTAGTTCGAAATAAAGTACAAATCAAAGTCAAAGCTGTAAAGATTATTTTGAAACAACAAAAGCCTTACCTAGATTGTGCCGTTTGTTTTTTGCGTGCTCGTGGATGTGTTTCTTTGTAAAACAGCCAAAAAAGACGCAGTAGAGACAAGAGTGGAGTCGGTTCAGGTGGGCACCACACATATGACAGATGCACGACTTGGCCTGTGGAAAAAGAATGAAGGGAGCGTGGTGGGATGGGGGAGGACAAAAGAGAAGAGCAAATGTGAGCAAAGAAAGACAGCAGCCCCCTCACTATGAACAGCAGGCTCACAGAGTGGAACTGTCTGCCAGCTGAAACAGATTTCAATCTTCCAGTCACTCACATGAACACATTGCTTGCATAAACCTAATATAAAAGCAGACTGATGGTTGCTTGGCCTGTTGACAAATAAAACACAGCAGGAAACTAGAATATTTCCACAGAGAATCTCCCACTACATATACAGATATGATGGGATTTAATGCTTGGCAGGCACACTGGAAGAGACCACTCCTATGGTCTTAAGCAGAGCTAGTCACTAATGGTGGCCTCTGCTGCCCGCTCTCTCCTCACCGATGACACAGTCCCATGTGTGATCCAATGTGTTGACCCCATCGTCACTGTTCATAGTTCCGTGCCCACGACTTCTTATTTCTTTGTCTTCCTTAATTCATCTTTCATATTTCTGTTGTTCGGTGTTTATGATCCATGTGTTCTCCCAGTCCATTATATGGTTTTCTCTTGTGCAGTGGTCTTTTACGGCTGATTTCTTTATTGTACTTTCTGCTTCTTGTTTCGCTGCTCTTGAGTGTCTTCTTGTTTCTTTCTCACGCTCTTTTCTCTTTTCACACTCTACATGTTGTAGAGATCAAAGAAACAGCGCTGGGCTGGTTTAAATTCTGCCTGTCTGATAAATTTCATTTTGTAAATGTACATGACAAATCTTCATACTCGGTTACTTGTGTAGTACCACAGGGTTCAGTGCTTGGACCAATTCTTTTTACTATATATATGCTTTTGTAGGGTTAAATATTGTAGCTTTTAAGCGTAATATATTACCTTTACTTGTGACCAATAAGATTTGATATTCTATATATTCCTATATATTCTTTGTTTTTATCTTTTTAGTTTAGTCTTGTGCAGCACCTTTGTGACATGATATATGTCGGTAAGATGCTTTTATAAATAAAGGTGATGATGATGATGATTCTATATAAATATAGAATATCAACCAGCTTGGTCTTTGGATGTTTAATTAGAAGATTGTAGGATTCTTAGCTTTTTCAGGGATCAAACATACTTCGTATTAGGGCTGCTCAATTAATCGAATTTTAATCCCAATTACAATCTGAGTTTCGAACGATTATGAAAACAAATTGAGCCATTTATTTTCTTCTCCCTCTTGCGCTGCTCCAAGTTGCAAATCAAGCGCTCCTCCCACATTGTTGCCAACTTAGCAAATTAGTTGCCATTTCTAACATATTTTCAGACCCCCTTCTTAACTTTTTAAATTCTAAAAGTACCTCGCAAACAATGTAGAAACATCTCTGGTAACCCTTTGCTACTTTCTGGAAAACTGTCGTCGACATTTCCTGCAGGTTAGCGAAACACTCGGCCTGCGCTCCAGACCATCTTTCCAGACATTACGAAAGGGAATGATGTAGTGATGTGTTGGTCGCAAAAAAATAAAAAAAATGCTCTCAGATCCAGCTTCCTCTTGGATTAACCGGAGTGAGTGACACACACCGTACCTGCAGGCTCCTGAGCCGCTAAAAACGGCATAATGTGCACGCGTGGTGCGCTAAACACACGCACGCAGCTTGCCCTTGATTGCTGTGAGACTGGGTTGGGGGGGTGGGGGGGTGGGGGGTGCAGCCAGGGCCGGATTATCATTGCAGGGGCCCCTGGGCACAATGTGCTTAGGGCCCCGCCCCCAACCCACCTGGCCTCCCCCAACATTACTGTCACCCAGTAGCACTTTTTAGACATTTCATAACATTGTCAATATTAAAAATCCCTTATGCCGATTCAAAACATTTACCTCCAGGTCAAAATAGTTTTATAACCTAATCACAAACACTCATACCTGATGATTTTCCTGTTGTGCCTCACTCATATGTCTTTCTTCCTCTGTCCTCTCTCTTTTCTCCTCTTTTTCTGTGTCTCTCTTCCTCACAGCGCTCCTGTCTTCTCTTCTGTCTGTACTAACAAAAATGTTTCCAATCTGTGGGACAATGGGGGGGTGAGTGAGTCTGCTGTAAAAGAGATCCCACAGTCCAACTACAACAGAAAGTAATGCAGAATTGTTTAAAAGATTATACAATTATTGAAAAGTTTGCAAAGATGAAATATCTGCATGTTTTTTGTTTGTCTCCTGTCTCTTTCCTCATTTTGTCTCCTGTTTCCTTATTCTTCTTGTCTCCTGTTTCCTTATTCTTCTTGTCTCCTTCCTCCTCTTGTCTTCTGTCTCCTTCCTCCTCTTGTCTCCCATCTCCTTCCTCCTCTTGTCTCCCGTCTCCTTCCTCCTCTTGTCTCCCGTCTCCTTCCTCCTCGTCTCCCGTCTCTTTCCTCCTATTGTCTCCCATCTCCTTCTTACTCTTGTCTCCCGTCTCCTTCCTCCTCTCGTCTCCCGTTTCCTTCCCCGTCTTGTCTCCTGTTTCCTTCCTCGTCTTGTCTCCTGTTTCCTTCCTCGTCTTGTCTCCTGTCTCCTTCCTCCTCTTGTCTCCTGTCTCCTTCCTCATCTTGTCTCCTTTCTCCTTCCTCCCCTTGTCTTCTGTCACCTTCCTCCTCTTGACTCCTGGCTCCTTTCTCCTCTTTTTGTCCCCTCTTGTTGACCTCCTCTCTTGCCTTCAGAAAAACTGCTTTCTGGCCTTTCGATTGGTAAATTCATTTACAATGTCATCAAAATCCAGATTCCTGACAAGCTGAGATTCAATAGCCATCAGTGACAGTGCACTGAGGCGCTGTTGAGTTTGTGTTATTACTATACTATATAATTAATGAGCATCCGA